CCCCAAAACCCCAAAACCCCAAAACCCCAAAACCTCAAAACCCCTAATTCGTTAAATCTAATAGATTTTCCCTATATTTTGTAATTATTATTCTGGTTCTTCTTCCTAATCATGCTTTTAAGAGTAGCTGCTTTTTTAATAAAAGGCTGGTCTTCATCTTTTTCAACTTTTGGTTCTTCTTTTGAAGCAGATTTTAAAGCTGGCTTCTGAAGAGATTTAACTGGAGCTTTAGTAGCCTCTGGCTGCTTAGATGCAGAAGAAGTAAAAGGTGTCTTAATCGGTTTTGGAGGCAGCTGAGGAGCTTTATGAGGTGCTTCTCGGGTTCTAACGGGCATTTTAGGGGGTACCTTTGTTTTTGATTCTTCTTTTTGTTTAATTTCTTGTAAAAATTTGTCTTTATTTTCAAGATCTGCTATGAATTGTTGTTCTTTTTCATTTTGCTTTGTTGATAGAAAAGGATTTCATTCTTTCAGTGGAATTGCTCTTGGTCTTGATCTCGGTTGAGAATGTGGTGAATCAGCTTTAGATGATAAATGAGTTGTTGATGAGCTACTGTCTGGAGTCATAACATCTACATTTTTCCCAATCTCTTTCTCTACAACTGCATGATCCAACTTAGTTTCTGCCTTAATTCTTTTAGGTTCGTCTATTTTAAAGCTATCATTTGATTCCTCCTCACTATTAATGGCAATTTTTTTAGAATCGTTAACTAAGCCAATCTCGTGGCGACTCTGGTTATCTTCTTTAAGGTTAGTTTGATTATTTGCCTCTTCAACTTCCTGTTCTACTATTTCAATGCGCTCCTCAATAATTTCAGCTTCTTCATTATTCTCTCCTTCAGGTTGACTATTCTTCATCTCTTCTGTATATCCCTCTTGTGCAGTCTGATGTTGAGATATATTCTGGTCCTCCAGACTTGTAGCTTCCTGAGAGCTCTCACTAATCTTCTTTACTTCTTCAGATGCCACTTTTGTGTCTTCTTTTTGGGCTGTGGGGCCTACTTTTTCTACTTGTACTTCTTTATGAAGTTCTTCTGGAACTTCCTTCTCCTCTTCTTGAGAAGTTCCTCGAATTTCTTCATGAATAACAACTTGGATGTGCTCTTGAGTGTTTTGTTTAGCTTCTTCGATTAATTTTTCTTTTTCAGGGGTTTCCTTCTTCTCTTTTTTAGAGCTGACTTCAGAAATTCGACCTGAAATTTGAGAAGACATTTTTGTATGCTGCTCTTGATCCTTGTTAGAGATTTCTTCTGGAAGGATTGAGTTTTCACTCATAGTTTGTAGCTGATCATTAAGCTCAACTTCAGGTTGTTGTTCTTGAATTTGATTAGCAACTTTCTCTTCCTCTGTAATAATAGAAACTGTTTTGGCGCATTCTATTTTCTGTTCCTCTATTGGATACTGAGGCTCTTTCTCAGGAGTGTTTTTAGAGTTTTCAATCTCTTCAATCAAATTTTCTTGCTTATTTTCCGCTAAAAATGATGAGTGATCTTACCACTGCTTATTGGCTCTTCTTCATGGGAAAACTCTTCATATTCGATGACTTCATCTGGCTTTTTCTCTATTTCTAGGATTGAAGTTTTGGGAACATTCTGGTGCAATTCTTCTCTTTGAGATTGTGTATGGCTTAAATCTATATCTGTAGGCTCTGCTGGGATTATGAATTTGGCTCCTGTAAGAAGTTCACAGCCTAGAATTCCTTTGCCACCCCAGTTTTCTGAAGGAATTATTTCAATTTCTAATATTTCTCTTTCACCAGGGCCTCCCTCTTCATTTTCTTTGACTCTGTAAATGACTAAAGGGATCTTTTTCCCAAGATTTGCTTTGGCTAGTCTTCCAAAATCCTCAAGCGATTTTAGAATCCCTGCTGAGGTACCGATTATAAAGTCTGATTTGGCAACCAAACCAGCTTTGAGAGCTGGGCTATTAGGATAAACATCAGCTAGATATTAACAAATTTAAAGGCGTACCAACATAAAATACGTTCTTATGTGAGTCTGAATAGTCTTCAAATCTAATTGCTCAGCCTAACAAAGAGTCTCCTCCCCAGTTCTGATTCGGACAGATAGTGACTATTCTTTTTTCCTGGGAAATGAAGTTATAAACGACCAGCTCAAGCTCCTTGCCTTCAAATTTTTTAAGTTTCTCGCTAAGAGTAAGATCATCTTGGCCTGAAACTTCATGTCAGATGAAGTCTACCATAACTCTTGCATCTGTCTCTGAGATCGGTGAGTCTGGAAGTATGTCAAGGATCCGATATCCATGATTTGGATATAAAGTAGAATCTGAACTTCCCATTTTAAATTTATTCCTTTGTTTTCATTAATGAAAATTTTTAATGGGGTTTTGGGGTTTTGGGGTTTTGGGGTTTTGGGG